GCAAAGCAAAATGCATTCATTTAAATCATTTTAGTTAGGGTTCCTACAAAGCCAGAGCCTATCCAACCAGGGACACCAGACAAACAGGGAACATCACTCTCCCCTGGAAGGGACACTGGGAGGCTCAGTAGCTTATATTTCAATGAATCAATATGTATACTGTATATGAATCAATCATATATCAAAAATCAAAAATCAAATTTAGATATATGAATCAAATTTTGATTGACATTATTAGAGGTTTGATACTCCCCTTGGTGCCATTTGGTTTCATAATAATTCTTACATTTTTAAATAATGTCCCTGTAGAAATTAAAGCAGTTTAACAAAAAATGATCAAAATAATATCATGTGTGTATTGTATGAAAGATCACTTCAGTGTGTAGTCTGGCCAGGGACAGATACAGCTATAGAACTGGCCAGTATACTATACTGTATATTCCTACCTATCACATACACTTGGCTACTGCCATTGGACTGGGTCAGTCCCTTTTAGTACTTACAGGATTTAGGGTAGGAAAATCATACTCTTGCTACTTGCTAGGACATACCTACAGCCAGACTTCCCTTTCTGTAAACATCAACTAAATAAACAGAAATCAATTTCCACAGACACACACTGTCACAGTCTTAGAAGCGCATTGTGAGAGTTTTTATGAAAACAAACAAAAAAAACCCACTTATAGGCACTGCATTCAATGTGTGACTGACAAGAGCCTCTTTCATAACTGGAAGATGAAGTATTTACACCAGAGGTGTCCAGTTCTTGTCTTGGGGGGGCCAAAGTGTCTGCAGATTTTCAAGGTCACTCGAAAGTTGCAGGATCTGAATAGCTTGGAGATGCTGTTAAATGAGTTCAGTTAAGCCAGAAACCATCTGGTTTAGCTCATTAAAAGCTGATTTGAAATAAAAATCATGGAAACGCCAGCCCTCCAGGAGCAGGTTTGGACAGCCCTGATTTACATACCAAGTATCATTTTACAGCTCTAGAACAAAAGAAAGCACAGTTGTTTCTCTTAATGTACAGTGCTTAGCAAGTGTGCTCTGAAATATAACCATAGGGGCATATCATATTTAGTAAAATCATAATGAGTCACAGTAGACTCTTTACTCAAAGCATTATTCTAACTTGGTAGGAATCATAGCCAATACTCCAGACTTCGCTCTTCTTAATATGTTATATATCAGCCATTACTTATAAAAAGGTACACAATTATACTGAGTTAGCAGCATCACAAAAATCAGTCTTGAGTTACAAGAAGCACTAAACAGCTTAACAAAAAAAACTTCCATGAATACAGGATGCTTTATTAAAAGTTATATTTCTTTTTTTAGAAATACATTTTTCAAAATTATGAGACTATATCATACAAAGGCTGTTAGAAAGGTATTTCAATGACCTTACAAGGTGTAATCAGTAAGACACAGACCGATCCTAATCATGCTTACCTCCTTGAAATACGAGCATCAAACAATGTGGTATCATCGTCTTCATCCTCGTCCTGCTCCAATGGTGTCATTTCCATGGCAAGATTTGTGTCCAAGACTCCATACCTCCTTGTTTTACGGTTCTTTTTCATTCTGAATTAAGAAGAAAAGATCTTCAGTACAAAATACACGCAAACTTCAAACACATGGTGGTTTTGATGTTAACTATGATAACCTCATGGCTTCATTTTTACAATATGTTCACAGTGCTCCACACTTACATGCCACATCCTAGCAGTGGAACACGCTTACAGAACGTATTGCTTGACAGAATTCCAAAATGTGCTACTAATCCTTTAAAAAAAAGTCTTCTGACTGCAAGGCAAGAGAGCAAAATTATCTTAACCTGCCACAGTAGCAGTATTTGAAGAGCACATACTGTATAAGACCTCAGCCGAGAAATCTACTTTAGCATGTTCATAAAAGTAACCAGTAGCAAATTTCAATATGAATTTCAAGTACAATATGGAGGTATCAAAACCCTGTTAAAGTGTACATCTGTAGAAATTATAGTACTAACATTCTTCATTCTTCTAACACTAATACATTTTTCTAACAAAATAAAAAAGGCTTAGGGATAAAACAAAAAGAGAAGAATAACAGAAAAAATAAAGCCTCATGTTCTAGTCATTAATATCAAAATAGGTTTAATTTTTCCTTTGGGCAAACTGTGGGCAAAGTGCCCACTCCAGAGTACATTAATCAGTTGGGACAGTTTTCACGTAATGAAATTTAAATTTAAAGACTTTCCTATTTGCTTCCTAAGTAGAGGTGTCTGTGTTTTGGGAGTTCATTTTTTATTGTGCAAACTGATGTCCTACAATCAATTGAATGAATTGTAATATTGTGCCATGAATTGGTTTGTGTAAAACCAATGGAGAATTACAATTTCTTACCATTTTACCATTGAAATGGATTTTAAATAACCTAAAAAGATTTTACCAATCCGATATTTTTTTAGATGCAAAAATACATGAAGCAGAAAAAAAATGAAAACTTAATCAGTGTATGTGAAATAATAAGTGAACCCTAGTTTACTGAGCACAAGTAAATAGCATTGGTATGAATAAATAAAATAAGCGAGTTTGGGCACTCCTGTCTTAAAATGTCTAAAAATAATCAGAAACTTTGAGAGTGTGGTTTACACCATACAGGATAAAGGAAACGCATCACGACACAATCAAAAATAAATTTCAGAGGACTTCAGGAAAAGAGCGGTTAATGCTCATCAGTCCGGAGAGAATTCATTAAAACATTTCTAAACTTCTGGGGCTCCATTAATCCATTCGGGAAATGGAAAATATCTGAAACCACAGTGACTCTATCCCAGGACCTGGCAGGTTGTCCTGCCAACAACAATCCTGCAAATCATCGAGGAATTCACAAAGAACCCCAGAGAAACATCTAAGGATCTGTAAGTGTCTGTCTGCCTAAACCATCAGAAATAAAACTGGAAGGATATGGATGTCATGGGGATAAAAGCATTGCTCTCTACAATAACATGTCAGCCATGTCAAGTTTGCTGAAGTGCACCTGGTTGATCCACAATACTGCTATAAGAATGTTGTCTGGACCGTCATATCAAAAATTGAATTTTTTTACTACAATTAGAAATGTTTTGTGTTGTGAAAACCAAATGCTTCCTTGCAACACAATTGATGTCCCTCATCTTTGATGAAACCATTAATTCAGCACTGTATTGGCAAATTCTGGGGGAGAATGCCCGGCCATCCATTCATCACCTGAAGCTGATCTGAAAAGAGGTCATTTAACAAGACAACAATCCTAAACATACAAGCAGGTCTCCAACAGAATGGCTAAAGAAGAAATTTTGCATTCGAATTGGCCATTTAAACGTTGTACCATGACCTGAAGCGAGCTGTTCACGCAAGGAAACCCTGAAATATCAGGGACTTGAAGCAGTAAGAGACTGATAAACATTTACAGAAAATGTCTAACTGAAGTCATCGCTGCTCAGGAGGTGCTGCCAGAAACTGAATCTAATTTATTGACATGAATCTAATCTTAATTAACCTAATGTATTCCCACAATGGGTTATTTTAATTAAATAATACAAATATATCTTTGCATTCCATGTTTAACGAAGTTTGCTTTATAATTTATTGAGACTTCCAAGAGGACATGAGGATTTAATTACTTTGCAGTTGTAAAATATACAAAAATATGGACCAACCTAGAGAGTTCATAAAGCTTTTCTTGGCACTGTATATCATTTTCACTTTTTGGAAAGTCATCTTAGAACTTCTTTTGTCTTCCCTATTTAGTGAATTAAAAAGCAGTTAAAATGTATTAAAAGTGACCATGTGGAAAAATAAATATGTGATTTCAACTTGATTTAAATGGCATTGTAGTTTAGTCTACCACTTTGAAACCACACTTGACTTAATCATACATAATGTTACAGACAATATAAGATGCACCTAATTTTGCATACAGTACAGTATGTACAGTATATACAAGATATCTTTTATTTGTACTTGTACTGTAGCATTACTTTAACTGGATACTAAAAGATGGCCAGAACTTATAATGTGAAATTCCTTAGCACATAGGGGTAGTCAATACATTTCAAAATGTTCATGAGAAAGTATGGTTACATGTAGATTAATACAGCATTATAAAGGGTATTGAATGTATTTGCATTTCTGTGTTTCACAAGTCTGTCTTGCAGTTGAACACTGTTTTATAAATACTGTTACTGTGGTTAGGACACAGTCCTAAATACAACAGAGGAATAATACATAGCTTAAAGCAGATAAATATAAATAAAAATGCTTATTTTTGTGGGCAAGCAGATCAATTTCAATTTATTTCAGATAAATGAATCAACACTGATTAGTCTTTTTCTCGCCTGAAACCTTTCCATTAATTCAATCCAGATCAAGGCAATAGTTTCTAAGAGGACAGGAGTCACACAACACAGGTTACAGATATTTTTTCCTCTTTAGGCAGTTCTTTAAAGTTCCAACTGCAGTTTTGTTTGTAAGTTTAGTATAATAAGGTATAAATCGGCACCAGCCTCATTACTGAAAAATATATGTTTCAGATCGTTCGGTTTTAAATTTTACTCTCAAAGCCCCCAATTTAATGAAGAAGAAGAAGAAAAAAACCGTGTCCACAAAATGCCCGTAACTGGTTCAACCAACCCATGTGCAGATGAGTGTTCTGAACCAGTACCAAACAAAAATAATTAAATCCAAAATGTTACGATGTTGCAAAAGACAACAGCGATATAAAACTGCGAAGGATTTGTGAAAACAAAACAAAAGCAAAAAAAAAAAATCACCTCATCGCAACTCTGTCGCCGCTTTTAAAGAGGATGTCGCATTACAAAAGCATCTAAGAAAACAGAAAAGTAGCTTAGGCAATCGGAAAACTATGATGCAGTCCTTACTTGACAGTCCTGATGACGAAATAAACGATGACAAGAGCGCTGACAGCCACAAGCACATACAGTGCCCTCTGAATGGACATCGGTCTGCTGTCATTCGCGGCCAGCTCCGCTGCCACAGTCCGGCTGGTGCTCTGGAAGTCGCCCGTACTGTTGTTTTTGCCTTCCCTGACTCCAACGGAGCCTGTGTGCGTATTCATTTTGGTATTACCGCTGCTGGCATTGCCGGTGTTTTGGCTGATGCCCACCTGGATCTTTGTAGACGGAGCTTTGTACGGGCCAACTGTGGCAACAGGAGGCAAAAGTACAGGCAGTAAGATGCATACAAACAAACTAGCCCTAAAGACCCGTGTCTTTTCAGGACCCATGTCCTAAAATAATTTTCTGTTTTTTTTTTCTGTCAGCGCTGACGTATTGTTATAACACACAGAGCAGAATCAACTCCCTCTTATTTCCCTCATATTGTTTATGCGTTGACTTCCTACCGTCGCTACGCAGTGTGACATCATCTTCCCTGCGTGCCTGCGGGAGCTGCTATTGATGGGCTTCAGAAACTGAGGAGAAGACACCCGGATGTACCTGTAAAACGTGTTTGGTCACAGAAGCATTGCAATGAGTCTTTTTAAATTAAGCAGCAACGTCTGTTTACTAATGCAATTAGGTAGAGCTCTCACAAAGTCACAAGACCCAAGCATACTGTACAAACGAAAGAAAAATATCCTGCAAATGTTTTTTTTTTGGTCTTTGACCTAAAATGATTAGTCTTTGACAATGACAATTGAAGTACTGTAAACATTCTTTATTATTAAAATATCTTTAAATAGATATTCTAAAAGTACTGCACATAATTTAGTCTACAATGCTTCAACAACAAGAAATGTTAAAGATGTGAGATGTGTACTGCATGTGGCATCTGTATGTGCCACCTTATTTTCCAGTAGTAGGCAGTTAGCGTGATTAATAGTAAAACAGCCAAAGAAAGAACACAAAATCAAGTTTAAAAAACAGAATGCAATACGTGAATATATGTGTAAAGTTAAGAAAAGTTTTATCTGCCTACCCGTCATCAGAAACTCCTGGTGAAGGTCAGGAAAAACAGGAGCCTGCTATTATCTAAATGTGTAATTTTCCCAATCAATCAAGGAATTGAACAACGAATAACAATAATCTAGAGGCAGATGGAAATATGCCAGAATATAAAAAACAACATCACAGTGCCTCATGAAATGAGTTTCTAATGTATTACATTGACCCAGAGCAATTTAGCGAAATAATGCTTCTCTTTCTAATTAAATGATACTGAAAAAAAATCAATACAACTGTTGAGGCTAAGACTTCTTGTCCATCTGTTTAACTATGTTTTTCTTTCTTCTTTCTCATTGTTTGCTTCACTGATTCTGGTTGTCTCACATAGTTCTGCCTGGAAAGGTCTGCTAAAGGTCCCCACGTCTGGTGCCTTTTTGAAGGCAGTTAAAATGGATACCTGAAAAAAATTGTTTATAGGATAAGCATTTGTAGTTATACACAAAGATTCACTTCTTTACTTTTTTTAGGAAGCAAAAAAAAAACAATGCATCTTTTGTATTAAATAAAGTCTTGTGCTCTCATCTGTATACTATCAAAACCTCACTTGTCCACTATCTAAAGTTTAAAACCTAGGATCCAACATATAAAACAGAGCATCTTGTCTGTCTGTTCCTTTATGCTGTGGTGGGAAACCTATGTGGCCTGTTGCTTAATTTCATCCAGGCCGCAGGAGCCGGGTTGGTCAAATATTGTATAGCCTCCTCTGACATCCAGGGGAAAGTCAAGAGCTATGTACAGTATGACCACAAAATTGTCCTGCCACACATTTTGCACAACGGCATTTTGAATTTTGTGAAAGGAAAAGAACTGTCATTTATGGTTGTATTTGATGCCACCACGATACTGACAAAAGTCAAAAGACTAAATATTCAGGTTCAGGTATAACTATGTTGTGTATGTGTGTATGTACTGTATGAGGTGCAACTGTAATTGAGCGGACAACAATAAGGCTGCTTTCTGTCCCTGTATTTCCATATTGCATAAGCATATTTTTATTTTGCCACGGGGTGAAATTAGTACTCTTTATCATACTAAGGGATTTCTATCCATCTGTTTTCTAAGCCGCGTTATCTAGTACAGGGTCACGTCACGATGGAAGCCAGAGCCACGCAATGAGTGCGAGGCGGGATAGACCCTGAATGAGATACAAATCCATCATAGGGTACAAACGCAGGAAACAAACACGCACATACTGTACTCACATCAGGGTTAATTTTCCCAGAAGCCAGTTAACCTACCAGTATCTCTTTGGACTGTGGGAAGAAACTGGAGCACCTGGAGGAAACACATGAACAATAGGAGAACAAACAAACTCCACACAGACAGCACCAGTGATACCACTAGGGGCACTGTATTGAATGGGAGGTACTTTGGGTAGAGTGTCATAGATTTCACTGAGACTTTTGACCACATTGAGATGCCAGAACAGACATGTTGTGACAAAGAATGCCACAAGGGTATCAGAAGGGGAACAAGCTATTTATACAGGTGTGCACACATTACAGGACTATGATGATGACAGGGATGACAGCGAGAGAGTGGTTCATTATGCACCACTGTACACAATTTACATTTGATGGATTTCAGTGAGTATGCAATTTGGAAAATGACATAAAGAGAGTGTGTTGGAAGAAAGGACTTTGTATTATCTAAACTATAGTGAAGCACAGGAAACACAATAAAAAGAAGGGCAAAGGAAAATGTAAAGAGTTAAGTAAGAGACTTATCACTCCATGGGAGAAACTGAAAGAGAAAGGAGAAGCAGGAAGATAAAACAGGCTTAACAAGCTCCTGTAGTTTATTTTTCTAATTTAGGGAAGGAGACGTAAACATATACAAATAAGAGAAAGACTTGGTACTCTGAGGTTGTTTACATTTTTATATTGTCAAGAAGGCAAGTCTGGAATTGCTTCGAGGAAGAAAAATAACAAGGCATTACTTTTCTAACTTTGAGAAAAACAAATGTGTTTTTGATACAAGTAAATTATTTGTTTTCTACTATGTTAACAGGATATTTTGAGATATTTTTTAGTGTAGTCCAGCTTTCCTGATCTAGGGGTTATTTTTTTATCCTCACCAAAAGTAAGTGAATCGTTTATTTTTCAATGAATTATTTTCTTTATAAAACAAAGTACTATTTTTTAACTATATTGTCAGGGCTCTAACACTGCAAGGCAGCATTGCAAACCATCATGCCTCCCTACTAAGGGATTTGATTATGTTAATTTTGCCCTGTCCGACACATGACATCACGCTGTCCAATTAGTGTGGCCAATTACCCTAATCAGAATGCTTCTGGCATGTGGCAGGAAACCAATGCAGACATGAGGACAACAGGCAGACCTTACACAGATAGAGCCGCTTAGCCAGAAAGTGATCTCTTGTTCCCACGGCTGTGAGACAGCAGTGCTACAGAAAATGCAGTATCCCCAATCCCCCTGTTAGGCAAATATAACCCTCTGTAAAACTGAACGGATGAACCTGACATATTTACCTCATGGCAAATTTATGTGTTCAAGTTTTCAACTGGGAGGTACAGTGGCTCTGTGTATAGTACTGCTGCCTGCTGGTTTTATTATAGATCAGCATCACAGTGATATTTATAATTATGAATTAACCTGGTTAAGAAATATAGTCATACATTTAACTGTGGTGGTTGGATCTAAAACAATGATCCTGCGAACCTAACTAGTAGCAGCCAAGTCTTACTAGCCAAGTCTCGTGCATCTGAACACTATATCCCAGTTTATGTGGAAAACAGTTTTTTTCATTAAAAATTCAGGCAATAAAGTAATAACAATTGCTACAGTAGCACTATAGTAGTACAGTAGGTTTCTATGCAACCAAGGCGTCTTGCCTTTTGGAACAGCGTTAATTTGCCTAAAATATCCTAAAGATATAAACTGTCAGTACTGAGTTCTGTAGAATATTTAATTGGATTGGTTTCTGCTGGATTTTTTATTCTTGAAAATATTTGTTGGATTTTTTATTCTTGAAAATGAAGTTTACTTCATATACAGTAAACAGGATGGGGCACAAATAATATTGATATCTGATACTATTAACATTACCAATTGGATTAATATAAATTAAAAGTACATATAATATTTCTCTATTCCAATTTTAATGGAATGGTTTTATCTGTTTATACAAACTGCACATTCCAGCAAGTGAGAGACTTTAGAGGACACCATGCATTTGACATCATATCAGATATACTGTAAATATACTGTGGGATTATCACCTGTTGAAGTTACTATCAACCTAACACACATGTGGCAGTAGTACAAGGGCATCTTGCATTTAAAATGCTTTCTATGGTTATAATTCTGGTTCACCATCAAGCAAATGCCTTTAAATAAATATTGCAGATCTATTACATACTTAAATATTATGAATTTACTGAAGACATGAAGACATGGCTCACCATTTTCACAAAAGTAGAACACGTTTGTTTAGATGGAGATGAAGCCTAAAGAGATTCTATTTGCCAACAAAGAAGACGCTTTAGTTATGTTTTTTGGATACTTATGTGCGAGGCAAAATACATTTTAGTTGGCTTCCTCAAACTATTATCACATTATCACAAAGAAAGATTTTTTGTGATATAATCATTGTACAGTATGTTTTTGCCTGTGAAATTACATATTGTAACGCAACGGGAGTTCAGGCGGGCACCCTTGCCGCATTAGCAAACCCTGGACTCCCGCGTCACTCAACAGGGAACCAGCCCAGTGAGCCAAAGAGAGATCTCTCTACAGCCCAGGGGCTGTGGTCCTGCTGTTACTGGGAAGGGCGGTGACGTCACCTGCTCTGGTAAGCCGGCTCTTACACAGTACCTGTCGGCCGTAAGCGTTACAATATATTTACAAATTACAATTCCATATTTAGAAAATTCTACATGTGTTTTATAATATTCTTAACTTGTCACATCTGTACAACCCATGAGAATGAAACTGATAAGGACTCTGCAGTACTTAGACTTTAATGAGATGCATGAATATACCGTTACATGTTGTCATTCACAAAAGTGTACTAAGGGAGGATAGGCTTTAAACATGATATACCTGTTGCTTTGTGAGAGTGGGGTGCTAGGAACACATACTGTAGATGTATTTCTTTATGTCAACCATAAGACAGACTTTAGCATACCATAGGTTAGTGAGGGATAAATCAACTGGGGCACAAATTATGTTGCTATGGTGAATGATTAGAGCCTGCATTGATCTGATCTTTTCAAATAACCAAAATAGAGTAAAAAAGGTAAAAGTAAGAGAAGCATTGGAATAAACACAACATGATCATTTTCAAAGTATGTTTCAACGTTCAACAAAGGCAATTTAAGGAAAGGTTTATGATGCTAGAGAAACAGAGGGATTTGAGAATATACTGTATAGGGAATCAGAAAGGTATACAGAGCTAAAGGTTTAAAATTCAGTTGTAGAGCCATTGATAAAATTAATATAATTAATCACATCACTCTACTGGGGCATTAGGGACCAACATAGACCACAGCACCCCCTGCTGGCCTCACTAACATCTCTTCCAGCAGCAACCTTAGTTTTTCCCAGGAGGTCTCCCCTCCAGGTGCTGACCAGGCTCACACCTGCTTAAGTTCAGTAGGTAGCCCATTGTG